GGAGACGATGAGTCATCCCCTGTGAGTTGCTATAGCGGATGAGAGAGCGGTATACGCCACCGAGGTGATTCGAGGATGCGTGCTCGAGATTTTTGGGGTCGAGTTTCCTATAGACTTGGTCCCTATAGCTATGGGGGATGTTTGAGTTATCGTGGGCATGGATTGGTTGAGCAAGTTTGGAGCAATCATTGACTACGAGAGATAGCTGGTGATGATTCGAGACCCTAGTGGGGGAGTGCTCACGGTTTATGGCGAGGGGACCCGGTGTGGGTCGGCGTTTTGTTCGGCGGCCAGGGCGAGGCAGAGTTTGCAGCAGGGTTGTGATGGATTCATAGCCTATGTGATGGATACTCGAGTGACCACGGAGAGGCCCAATTCGATTGATGACGTTCTGGTCATATGCGAGTTTTCAGATGTGTTCCCCGAAGAGCTACCAGGTGTGCCTCCGGAGAGGCAAGTGGAGTTTCGTATCGATTTGGTTCCGGGAGCGGCGCCCATCGCCAAGGCGCCTTATCGTCTCGCTCCGCCGGAAATGCAGGAATTATCCTCGCAGCTTCAGGAGCTGTTGGGAAAGGGATTCATTCGACCGAGTAGCTCGCCTTGGGGAGCGCCGATTTTGTTCGTCAAGAAAAAGGATGGTTCCCATCGGATGTGTATCGATTATCGGGAGTTGAACAAGTTGACGGTTAAGAACCGATATCCGTTACCTAGGATCGACGATCTGTTCGATCAGTTGCAGGGGGCCTCTTGGTTTTCCAAGATTGACTTGAGGTCGGGATATCATCAGATGAGGGTTCGCGAGGAGGATATCCAAAAGACTGCTTTCAGGACTCGTTATGGGCACTATGAGTTTGTGGTGATGCCTTTTGGGCTCACCAATGCCCCGGCCGCATTCATGGATCTCATGAACCGGGTGTGCCGACCGATGCTGGATCGGTCGGTGATCGTATTCATCGATGATATTTTAGTGTATTCGAGGACTAGGGACCAGCATGAGGAACATTTGCGGGAGATTCTTGGGGTTTTGAGATCGGAGAGACTGTATGCCAAGTTCTCCAAGTGTGATTTCTGGTTACGAGAGGTCCAGTTCCTCGGGCACCTTGTGAACCAGAAAGGGATATTGGTCGACCCGGCCAAGATTGAGGCGGTGTTGAGGTGGGAGGTGTCGAGATCGCCCACCGAGATCAGGAGTTTTCTGGGTTTGGCTGGATATTACTGCAGATTTATCAAGGATTTTTCCAAGATCGTTGTGCCACTTACTAGGATGACCCGGAAGGGTGTCACGTTTTCATGGGGACCGGAGCAGCAGTCTTCATTTGAGACGCTTCGTCAGAAATTGTGCGAGGCTCCAGTGCTTGCACTCCCGGAAGGGATGGAGGATTTTGTGGTATACTGTGATGCCTCTATATCGGGTTTGGGGGCGGTACTTATGCAGAGGGGTCATGTGATAGCGTACGCTTCGAGGCAGTTGAAGCCTCATGAGTCGAGATATCCCACGCACGACCTGGAATTGGGGGCGGTGGTGTTTGCCCTCAAGATCTGGCGACACTATTTGTACGGGGTTCGGTGTACGATTTACACGGACCATAAGAGCTTGAAATACTTGATGGATCAGCCAAATCTAAATATGCGACAGAGGAGGTGGTTGGATGTGGTGAAGGATTACGATTGTGAGATCCTGTACCACCCGGGCAAGGCTAATGTGGTAGCCGACGCATTGAGCCGTAGGGCGGATAGTGCCCCGATCCGGGATATTTGTATGAGATTGACGGTTTTGACCCCGATCCTGGATATTATTCGAGGGGCTCAGATGGAGGCTGCGAAGCCGGAACACCAAAAGAAAGAACGGGTTGTAGGTCAGGTATCAGGATTTGTTACGGATGGTCGAGGGCTTATGACTTTTCAGGGACGGATTTGGGTGCCGTTTGTGGGCGGTGCGCGCACTATTTTGATGGAGGAAGCACATCGATCAAAATTCTCGATTCATCCTGGTGCTACGAAAATGTATTTGGATCTCAAGAAGGAGTACTGGTGGCCATGTATGAAAAGGGATGTCGCTTGGTTCGTCGAGAGGTGCTTGACTTGTCGGCAGGTCAAGGCCGAGCACCAGCGACCGCACGGTAAGCTGCAACCGCTAGAGATTCCCGAATGGAAGTGGGAACAAATCTCTATGGATTTCATCACCAAGTTACCGCGAACGGCGAGAGGAGTCGATGCGATTTGGGTGATCGTGGATCGGCTGACAAAGAGCGCTCATTTTCTAGCCATTAGCGAGAGCTCTTCTGCGGAGAAGTTGGCCGAGTTATATGTGAGGGAAGTAGTATCTCGGCACGGGGTGCCGATCTCGATTATCTCGGACCGCGACGTGCGTTTCACTTCCAGGTTCTGGAAGAAATTCCATGAGGAGTTGGGTACTAGATTACATTTCAGTACGGCATATCATCCTCAGACTGACGGTCAGAGTGAGCGGACAATTCAGACACTCGAGGACATGCTTCGGGCATGTGTGTTGGACTTCGGAGGGAGCTGGGACACCTATCTACCTTTAGCAGAGTTCTCGTATAACAACAGCCATCATTCGAGCATTGGTATGCCGCCCTTTGAGCTGTTGTATGGGCGGAGGTGTCGCACCCCATCTGTTGGGGTGAGGTGGGACAGCAGGTTATGGGTAGCACGGAGATCGTGCTTCAGACGACCGAGCAAATTCAGATGGTCAGGCAAAGGTTGTTGACCGCTCAGAGCCGACAGAAGAGTTATGCAGACAGGCGACGGTCCGAGCTTGAGTTCCAAGTTGGTGATCTCGTACTCCTGAAGGTCTCTCCTTGGAAAGGAGTGATTCGGTTCAGGAAGAGGGGCAAGTTGGGACCCCGATATATTGGTCCTTTCCGTGTGATCGCAAGGGTGGGCCGGGTGGCCTACCGTTTAGACTTGCCAGCAGAGTTGGGACAGATTCACGATACTTTCCATGTGTCGCAACTGAGGAAATGTATAGCCGACGAATCGGCGGTGGTTCCGTTAGGGGATATTCAGGTGGATGCAAGCCTGAATTATGCTGAAAGACCTGTAGCCATCAGAGATCGGAAGATCAAGGTTTTGAGAAACAAGGAGGTACCCCTGGTATTGGTTCAGTGGCAGCATCGGAAGGGATCAGAGATGACCTGGGAGCCGGAACGTGAGATGCGGGAGCAGCATCCGGAGCTATTTGCCTAGCGGGACTTCGAGGGCGAAGTCTTATTCTAGTGGGGAGAATTGTAACAGCCCGGATCCCCAGGTATCTTCATTTCATATATTTTTGACATTCTGTGAGGGGACTCGGCGAGTTGGAGGTCGAACTCGCCGAGTCGGGTCGCGGTTTTGGGCGGGGTTCGCATCCGGACTCGGCGAGTCGCGCTGTTTAATGAAACCCTAATTTCCCGGCCCTAAGCCCTATTTAAAGGACCTTATGGCCCTCATATGCGGCCACCTTGAACCCTAAGAGCCCCATACGTCTGTGAGCCCTTGTGAGAGTGTTTGGAGGCTTTTGTTCATTATTTTGTGGGATATTGCAAGGAAAGGAGGGAGAGGATCAAGCTTGAAGTGTTGGGAGCTTGGATCTGTTGCTACTTCACCAAGGGAGTCTTCTTGAGGTAATTTTCAGAGCCAAACTTCGTGTTTTGTGTTGATGTGCCAAATCTAGGGTTTCTTCTTGCATTTCTTGGCTTGAATTAGAAGTATGAGAGGTCCCATGGAGATATGGAACCTAGATCTGGACTTTAGCAGGTCCAGGAGACCCCTTATGACAAGCTTTATGTCCATTCTTTTGAGTTAGAAGCTAAACTTGCCATATTAGAGGTTGTTTCTTCAAAATAAGCCTTGTATGCATTGCATGGCAACCAAGACCGAGACTTTACGTGACAAATAAGCTTGGGAAGGCCAGATCTATGTATGTATGGAACGGATCTGACCGCAAAAGCCAGTTTTAGCTGGTGCATGGCATGGACTCGCCGAGTCTGAAGAACAGACTCGACGAGTCGCTTGAAGATTGTCCTTGAGACCATCCTGTGTGTAGTCCGGACCGAGTTGAGGGCGACTCAGTGAGTCGCAGAGAGTTGGAAAGGTTTTAACAGGTGGACCGAGTCAGGTTGGGACTCGCCGAGTTGACCTTCGACTCGGCGAGTTGAGTCGCGGTGGCCCTGTGATTCAGGCCCAGGGGAACTCGTCGAGTCGGGGGAGTACTCGACGAGTAAAAGGGAAAAACCTTGATAGTTGATTAAAATGCGTAGACTCGCCGAGTCACTAGTGTGCACTCGCCGAGTCCGGTCCAAATTGATTAAAGACGATTGACCAAGTCAACCTGTGTTGACTTGATAAGGATGGCCCACCTTTGTGGTACAAGTAATAATTATAGATTTATAATATCATAGGAGGATTGCAGCTCGAGGGTTCGAGCTCGAGTGATTTCAGGATTCACGATTAGCGACTTAGCGAGGCGTACGAGGTGAGTCTTCTCACTATACTGTACCCGGAAGGGTTTTGACTGTGTGACCGGAAGGTCGAATATGATATGAGATATATGCCTTATGTGTGTTAAGTTATTTGTTATATGTGTCATGTATGATATGCTTGATTTGGGCCGGAAGGCAACATGATATGGGCCGGAAGGCGTGGTCACATGGACTGTAAGGTTGACGTGGGTAGGACCGGAAGGTTTACCCAGTCGGGACGGAAGTCCCCTAAGACACAAGGACCGAAAGGTCAAGTCCTGGAAAGGCGTATGTGCGTATGTTGTATTTTGGGGAACTTACTAGGCTTTATGCTTACAGTTGTTGTATTATGTGTTTCAGGTACTAGTGAGGACCGTGGGAAGGCGCCAGCGTGACCGTACACACACTCGGGGAAACTATTTTGTTATCTTTTGTTATGTAATCGGTTGTGACTACATTGTTACTTTGGAATCTAAACTTATTACTCATGTTTAGATGGTTGTAAAGATGAAATTTTTTGGTTGGAATTTTATGACGTTACAAGTAAATCTGTTCTGCAATCATATCGCGTACTGCACACATATACATATCCTCAGTTCTACGTTGTGTACTTGATACTTCGTCATGTAGCTCAATACCATTATTAGGTCCTTCGTCATTGCGCGGAATATAAGATTCTTCTTGCGCTATTTGAAATGTTGCATCACCACTACCGCTCATTCTAATGTAATTGTGAATCGCCATTGAAGCTAGCACAATTTTAACGTGGGTCTCGAAGTCGAAATTTACATGCATATCTCTTAGTAACACCCATCGAGCCTTCCAGACTCCAAAAGTTCGTTCAATTATATTGCGAAGTGATGAATGATAATAGTTAAATTTTTCTTTGAAGCCTTTTGGTTCCCGCGAGGCAGAAGTCTGTCCACGTCGAAAATCAGGAATATGATAACGGATGTTTGAACCTTTATAGGGAGCAAGATAACCTTTTGTATTAGGATATCTGGCGTCTACAAGGTAATAGTTACCTATACATTTACAAATAAAGCATATGATTGTTATTTATTTATACCGTTTGAAAATATAAAACTTGTATTAATAAGTAATGATACTAACCATCGGCTCGAAGTGGAAACTTAACTTCACGTCTCCTTCGCGCTTCATTGAAAATTCTCGTATCATGTGAAGTCCCCTCCCATCCAGCCCACGCAAAGGTAAAGCACATGTTGAAATCACATGCTGCCATAATATTTTGAATAACACAATTCTTTCGCCCAATGAATTTGATTTGTTCATGTTGCGGAACAGAGGCCTTCACGTGTGTTCCATCGATGGCATCAATACAATCTTACAATTTCAAAAAATATAACAAGTTACCAATTACTTTTACAAGTACACAAATTCACCAAATAACATAACTTTGCAACTAAGTAACTACCTTAAAGTATGGATAATACCGAGGGATATTTAGAATATGTTCTGGTATAGTTTCGTTGTAGTTAGCATTTGGTTTGATGATGTCCTTACTTAGGTTAACCACAACATCCAAGACTTTATGAAAATGCCTATGGATTGTTTCTCCAGAATGATTAAAGAACTCTTGAACTAACCGATTTCCACATCCATGCGCTAAGTACAACCAGAAAATACTAAGGGACTCTTCAATAGATACACGATGTGATTTCTTTAACCCATAATGTGCAACAAGATCCCTACATAACATGTTGAAAACCGAGACTTCTAATCTGAAAAGTTGATAACATCGACTCTCATGATCGTTAAGTATTTCATTGATAAGCATGCTTCCTGTGCGCGTAGATGAACGACGACGTCTACACACGTTTTTCAATTTCTGAGTCAATAGTAACCCTTTGACAGCAAGCCCACATAAAAGAAGTGTTTGAATCTCTTCATTTTCTTCAATTTCATCACATAAGTCATCACTGTCATATGAGTTGTCACTTTCACAATCACTGACCATGAATATAACCTATTACTAACGAAAAGGATACAAGGGTAAGATTGAAATTCACCACATACTAGATAAAATCATAGCAACATCATTGAAAAGAAAACAAGAGCAAAATCATGGGGCAAGGACAAAATTTACCACAAAACAAACATCAAACGACATTGCATAAAACACACACAAAACAACCGTTTAAATTTAACATAATAGTTGAAACAATAGGTCTGACACATGACAACCATTTAAAGTCTACCTAATAGATAAAATCATAGAAAAAGGAAACAAAACATAATCATGTGGCAAGGGAAAAATTGACCAAAAAATTAGAGAATGTCTAACACATGACATAAAAGGATAAGTCTAACACTACTTCTCTTTCTCTATAAGCCTCTTGAGAAACTCCATCTTTGTTTCATCACTCTTTGGAACCATAAAATTTTAACGAGTTGGTTTCTTTAAAAAGACCTCTAACGCTTCTAAATATCATATTGAGCCTTCTTCAAAACCCGGGAAAGTAGAGACAATTGCCATGCATTCTTCTGTTGTGGGTGACTGTGTGGTTTGTCTTGAGGGTTGAGTGCTCCTTGTTAACAGAACATCAAAAATAGTGTCGAGTTTCTGTTCATATGACGAGTTTGTCATACTCTTTCCTTCACTTTTTTCTTCATTTTTTTCTTAATTTTTTCCTTCAAATTTTCTTTTCTTGTTACACCTGGGAGTTAATTTTTTTCCCCTCCTATTCATACTAGAACTATCGATTGTGAAAAAAGGATCAACATCATCAAATAAGAGGACTTCATCACTATCCTCTTTTCCATCCGTAATATCCACAAGTTGTACATCATTCGGAGTGCTATTGTCGCCAAATTCGCAAGGTACCTTAGCCTTGTCTCCAATAGCTACAGTATCCCGAAATAAAGCCTTATAATATGTCTGATATACATCCAAATTCTTATCCTTAAACTTAGCAAACTCTTTATCTTCCTATATGTACAAATTTAGAATGTCATGGAAAACACAATACAAATAATATATAGTTAGATAAAAATTTTAATTATTACCTTTATTTTATCATCCCACCATTCCTTTGATGTTGAGATTGTATTTTTCACGAGATCAACTGAAATTCCCGTTTCTAGTTTTGTTAAACGGTCGTAATATTTGAACTCTTTCGACATTATGTCCCATTTGTTTTTCATTTGATTTCTGTCCAATTCTTTACCCGTTCGTTCCAAAAGCCTCTTACATATATTTTGGCACACAACGGATTTGAAATAACTACTCGCTCTATTCCCGTTTTTTAGCTCGGTCATACATTCCTCAAGAAATATCTTGAACGTATGAGGATCCCAATTAAACCTATTTGTAACTTTCACTTTGGTTGTATCAAAATCCATATCATGAACATTGACAGTGTCCATTACCTATATTAAATCATGATAAGGAATGAAGAAATTTCAACCTACTATTGAATAAACATAGGCAGCGGAATTTATGAATACAAATAACCATCAATAATAGCAAATAACAGCAACAACAATTGATGAAGAAAATCAACAATAATCACAGGGGCAGTTTCTGGAACAAAAAAAACCACACACAAACACAATCGTGAACAGCATGGTGCATCACCGATTAAAAAGAAAAAGAAAAAAACACACACAAACAAGGGCATGGTGCATCACCGATTAAAAAAAAGATAATAAAACAATCATGTTGCATCAAGAATGAAGAACAATCAATGGTTGCAGGGAAATATAGTAGGGAAGAACATCATCACCGATCAAAAAAAAGATAACTGGATGGCAGGGAACGATAGCAGCAGAGAAAAAAAAGATCAAGAACATACCTGATTGTCGATGGCCTCCAGGGACGATGGCCAAGGGAGAACAGGAATTGCAATCGGCAGCAACCACAGGTGAAGCAAACAATGGGATTTGAAGGGTTTATGGGTTTTATGTTTAGTTTATTGAAGGGTAATTCGGTAATTTCTGAATCATTAAAAATAAGCAATAAGCAATAAGCATTGCTTTCATAGCTTATTAAAATCAGCTTATTTTGCTTATTCCTACCACAATAAGTTGATTTTAAAATCAGCTTATTTTACTTATTCCTATCCAAACACTTAAATTAGCTTTTGTGGTGAGAATAAGCAATAAACTAAATAATCTAATAAAGTCATTTTTTTCCTTATCCAAACACACACCCTAAGATTTGTTAATAGAAACCGCCATGGCTGCAAACATCTCGGTTGCTGCAATTGTGGAAATTCCATCACAAGCCTCCAGAAATTATCCTGCCAAGATACAGTAAGTCTCAAACTTCACCCGATTTACTTATACAACGAAAAGTTCTTCATCATCGTCTCTAATTTAGGGTTTGGGTGTTTAGGGTTGGATGTAGTTTCTTGCTTTTTGATTGTTCGAAGAACATGATCAAAAGGAAACTGATACAAGTTTAAGAAAACAAAAAAGAAACACAAAGAATCAGACATGTATCGAGGATCAAAAGGAACATGATCAAAATTCACCATCCGTCTCCAACAATCAGCTTCCACCCTCGCCCTCTCTCTCTTCTCGCCAAAATGGTAACGAGAATCTGGTAACGACCCCCGTAGCTAGCACTAGGGGGCGGTGTTCATGGCTCGCTAACGAGCTTAGCGAATGGGCTTGACATCCCCACTCCGCTTAGCCTTAGTCGCTTCAACGATGTTCGCTGGAGCTCCTGTCCACCTCGGCACCTTCCAATCGGCAATCTGCAATCTCTGCTGATAGCTCCACCTCTCACCTCCACACTGTAATCGATCAGGTATGTTCGGTGTTGTCTCCATTTCTCTATTCTCTCTTTCTCCATCGGACCATCATCCCCATTCCATCAACCCCCCTGATTAAGTTTATCTGATTTTTATTTTCAATTCTTTATAATGAATGTCTGAATCTACGTGTTATACTCAATTACTTACTTCAAACTGAATCACCAAACCCAGAACTTGAGCTCATGACATGTAATTCACAAATGTATTTACTTTATTTCCTTAATTGCAAGATTTCAATTAAATGATTTCCTTAATTAAAAGTACAAAATGTCCAAAATACCCTTTAATGATTTATTTAATTATTTATTATTTCTTGAATTCTCATTGGTATATTTAGGCACACAATAGTTTCTAGAAACATTTAATCCTAACTCTCTCTCTCTCTCTCTCTATCTATCTCTCTCTCTCTCTCTCTCTCTATATATATATATATATATATATATATATATAAAGGTTATTTGGAAAACAAAAAAAAACTCTAAAAATCATAGTAATACATCAAAAAAATACTTAGAGATCACAAATATATTTTTTTTTTTGACTTTATATATACAAAAATTGCAGTTTTTTAATAAAACCGCTGAAAACAAAATTAAAAAATCGATTTTTTTTAAAAAAAGTTCAGCGAATTTGTTAATAAAGCTATGATTTTTGTATATATACAGTCAGGTGTGTGTGTGTATATATATATATATATATATATATATATATAAAAGTTGATGTATATTTTTTAAAATAAATCAATATATGTATATTTTTGATACAAAAGTTGATGTATATTTTTTAAAATAAGTCAATATATCTAGAAAAGTTATAAATATAAGGATATAAAATGCCATATCTTCAAAATAGATAGGCTGTTAATGTAAAACTATAAATATAAATTATTTACTTTCTCTTTCACCCTAACAAAAAAAAAAAAAAAAAAAAAAAAGCTAGCAAGACTAAAAAGTATTTTGTCAATTTTCGGGTTGTCTATTACTACGCTAAATCTTAGAAAATTCATAACTTTCTCAAATGAAGCCGGATTTGGATGTTCTCTATATACACACTCTTATTTTAACATCTACTACTACTTCCGTTTAGGTTGCTAAGACTAAAAAGTATTTTTTTCAAAAATTACTTTTTACAGTACGCGGAGCCGTACGTGTTTAATCGCAAAACTCTGACGGGTCATAAATTCTTCGTTATAAGTCGGATTTCAACGTTCTTTTTATATACGAAATCCTTGTGACATATACTATAAATTTGGTTAAGATTATTTATGTTAAATAATTTTCTATCAAAAAAATCATTTTTAACGCTTATTATCTTTAAATTGACTAACCTGAATCTGCGGGCATTACAATTATCTTCCCCTTAGGATGATTACGTCTCGTAATCATCAACGAAGCAGGGCTTGTATAATGACTCCATATATTATCTTTTCATCCTAGATAATAACCGTAACTCTTATGTTCTTTTAAATGAGTATCTAACTCATAGACTTCTTAACTGTTGGCGGTGCTCAATCTTGCACTTGCTCTTTGTCCTATGTTGGACTTTCAATCATAACCATTGAGTTATAAACTCGATCCTTATTGGAGATTCCTACTCCTTCTTAACAGACTTAACTTATGATAAGTTCTTTACTTCAGCTATTGTAATAGACTGATGGGTCATGTTTTAATGACCTCTCATCGTATGATGCAACGCTTTAGACTCAGGCCTTTTGAGTTAATTTCCATAATGGAATATACATTTCTTCAAATCTAATGTGATATAATCACATTCTAGCATGTAGCACTTCTAGCTACAATCTTCTTTACGTTAATGACGATCGCAATACTTCTGTTGATCGCCTCAATTATCTTTCACTTCAATCTTCTGGATTAAGTTAGATGTCACATCGAACTTGGTTCTTTGAACCATGTAACTGTTGGATTATTGTCTAAGTCCATAACTATATTTGGTATGTACTTTACTTGATTGATATGGTCCATTTGGGTTGCATGGCATCATGCATTTGGATAGACTAAAATAAGAGAAATAACACTTAAGGTTTATTAATATATTATAATTTCTAATATATTAATAAGATTATTTAATTACTATTGATCAAGAATTAATTTGGAATTAATTAAGTGGTCAAAAGGGGACTAATTAAATGTATGACTTGATTGTGTAAATCATTTATACTTGTATAGTGGGCTAATGCTCCATGGATTATCAAGTTGGACTAAAATTCATAGGATACTCCTTGGTATATTTGTACCCATGGATCATGGAAATGAAAGGCCATGACAATTAGGGTTTACATGGTGTAACCCTAATTGTGACACACTATATAAGCATCATATTCTTCCAAAAAAATCGGCGACTACGAAGGAATGGTGAGGGCTAGCCGATTTCATGAAGTGTCTCATTTCTCTCAAGTTATTCTAAGTGTATTTGGTGTTGTGTGAAACATTTGAGGTGTCACACTCGGGGCACTAGGGTCTTAAGCTCCACGGAATTAATCTACATCAAAAAGATATGTATTTTATCTAGTTTTTGTTATCCTAGTACATATGATTGTATGCTAGTTAGGGTAATACGTTGGAAACTTCAAGATTGCATGTATAATAGAGAAAACATAGATCCAAGGTATTTATGGTTGCATGTACACCATATGAGTGTTAGAATGCTCAAAACCCAACAGTGGTATCAGAGCCTAGGCTTGTTTTCTTTTTATACTTGCAAAATTCGCTGAAAAATTGAAGTTTGTTGTTGTCTACTCAGCACACGCACCGAGTCCATGAAGGGACTCGACAAGTCCAAGGCTAAACTCATCCAACTCGCCGAGTTGGTTCATGCACTCGACGAGTTGGACCCCCAAACAGCATATCTTCGACTGTTTTGGCTGGAATTGGACTAGGAACATTACCATAAGCTGTTTTTCAACTTATAAACCTGTTTTTGATGTGGTAATGTTCATGCTAATCCAATTTCAAAGATAATTGTCAATAGGTTCATGTTTTGTATAAGTTTTAATGGTTAGGCTAATTACATGAGAAAGTTTGATTGAATTATCTTGTTCTTATGAGTTTCTTAGATTAATAGAAAAGTTATGTGAAAATTGTTGTTTTCAATCCAAATTAATCTAAGAGTTGGTTCTAAAATGTGTTTTTGTAACTTGTCCTCAAGTTATATGAAAAGTCATATTTAAGATTCATAAAACTCATAAATATTTGCATAGGTTATGAATAAAGAAAAGTCATATTCTTTTAATAGTTTAAAGTCTTCCATAACTTGTCCTCAAGTTATGGAACTTGAAGAGTTTTTTGAATTAAAACTACTTTAAACTCATAAGTTATGGAATTGAATAGTTTTTGAATTGTTCAAAACTTGCTCTCAAGTTTTGGAATTTGTAAAGTTTTCCCTTATGAATAATTTAATTTCAAGTTAAGCCCTTAGAATTTAAAAGTTAAAATTCAACTCTTATACTTTATAGTATTATAAGTTAATTATATATGTATAAGAGCAAGTCAGTCTTACTGTTAGTAGGCCCCATTCACGAAGTCAGTCTATAAGGTGGGTATAAGGTTATTGTCTATAAAATGGCAGTTTGGTGGCTATCCACTCTCACCCACCGCTTCCTTGATTGGTGGAGGGTCGCTAGCCGAATAGGTAGGATAAGGACTAGAATTCTCCCTTCATTAAAAGTATTAATGATAAATACTAAGTAACTAAACTGTTATAAATTCCCAATCTTAGTTACTTAGGAAAATGTGAATTTGGTGCTAACCCATGAAATTACACTTTTCACTTTGCTTTAGTCGGTTAGTGTAGCGCATGTGGGTAACCAACACACTAGCTTGATTTAACAAGGTAGTCAAAGGGTAACTTAATGCTTGTCATAGTATCGGTGGAGCGCGTGTGGTTAACCGACACATCGATTGAGGGGTAAATATTAAGGGTACCAAGTATATTTGCATGGTTATTCACACCTTGTTTATGATCCTCGGCATCCCAGTCACAAAATGTGAGAGGGCACAATCGAGACTGAAACATGCCATTGAACAGTTCAATGAATCTCAAAAGATCTAGGAGTTTCAAATCCAAGTAAAACCTAATTAAATTATTTCGTTTTCATGGTGGAAATTGGTGAATCGTCATTAGCCTATCTACACATATTTTATAGCTTAGATGCCAGCATCCCTCTTCCAAGTTATAAATGTATTGTGTTGGGTCCTATCCTTAATATTTCACATTTGGTGTTATATTAAGGACTTTAAATCAACTAACGTGAATATCTCCCATATTATGATCATTCCAAATCCCTTGGAACAAGCTTTCCTAATGAAGATGATGTTTCATGGTTGGATCATGGAAATCATACTTCTCTTCCTCCTCCAATTATTCTCCCCAACCCACAAGTTCTTGAATAGTTCAAGGTCACTCAAGCCCTATTGGCAAGCAAGGTCTATATGTGATCACATCTTGGAGATGAAGTCACATATTGACAAGCCGGGAGAGTTTGGTGTCAAAGTCTTAAGAAAGTTGGATGTTCAATCACTTTCTAAGTCACATAGTGAGTTCCTTTGGGACTACTATGCAACAGATTTTGACATGACCCTTAATGATCTTATCTATTTGTTTGGTGCTGCTGAATCAACAATGATTTGAGGACTAATAAAGCAAATTTGATTAGGAGATCAACTTCCCAATGGAAATTGACAATGGTAACATTGGATACCCAGTAATAGCTTTCTCTTCCCAATGGAAAGGGATCGGCCATAGTCAACTCGGTTGACCAAATGGTAAAGAGAAAGGTTAAGTCTGAGATTGTCCCATGTACCATTACCACAGAGTCCATATGTTTCTATTGCCAAAAGGAAGGGGTATTGGTTGCAAAGCTACCAAATTTACCTAAAAGATCATAAGGCTGGTAAAGTCAATAAGTTTGACTCTACTTTAGGTAAAGTCCACTATCTAACTTTGTTAAGTTTCTATTATGAGATTCTTATTACATGATGTGACTGGGTCACATGTTGATGTTTTAATAATCAAAGAAAAG